GGCTCATTATGTGCCTTTGGCTGGAAAATTTTGCAAAATGACATTTTTTTAGGGACAAATAGCATCAGACTTTCTACAAAATCTTATTTGTTCATGTAAGGAGAAAATTCATGCCAGGCAGCATGTGTTTGAAAGAAGCAGGGTTTTCTTTGGACTGATTTGTGCTTTTGTCAAAATGTAGGTACTTGCAATAATGTCTAGACCTTATCAGCCAACATAGCTGATGACACAGATGAAATATCATGAAAATTGTTTTTTTGACATATTATGTAACTTTATTTAGATTTTTTTCAACGTTTCATTTGGTATGGAAACGGCCATGTTTCACTTTTTATATTTGTTATACAACACGCTTGCACCCATTACAGTAATGTCGAATGAACTTTAAACATGGCATAACTCCAATAGCTCACGCTACTGGCATCATCTGAAAAGTTATCATTTATTGAGACAGTTGAAATTCATTTTAAGAAAACTCAGTGACATGTCGAATTCAGGAAAACTGAAACGAAATTTAACATGAATGCAAGTTTTGTCTGATTTTTCAACAATTCATTTTGGATACGCTTTTAAAAACTTTTATTCTTAAGTATTCCAGAAATGCTACTTGTCCAGGTCAAATATCAAGGTATTCTGTTACTGTTATTTATTAGCCTTTTAAAAAATTTATACACGTGTTTCCTTCAAAAAACTTAAATAAAACGTTGTTATGACGTCATGCGCAAATATCGAAAAACATCTAGTACATGTATGAACTGAAGTATTGATACATAATACTACTTATATAATTTATTGAATGTGTTATTAATTTTGACAAATATCAATAGTTTAAATTGTTTCTCCAGATGAAAATATGAAATGTTTAAGTGATGACCTTTGACCTTGATTTACGGCAAGATTGTACCAGCTTTCATATTTACGACACACATTTTCCAAAAGCACACGATTTCAGCTTTCCAATGAGCTATTAAAATGCCATGAGGTATTTAGGTAATTTAAATTTCTAAAATTTTCCTCGATATAAAGATCGATGTCGATACCTCTCTTGAATGTTTGTTATCATCATTTTATTTTAGCAAGAACTAATACAGGAATAAATCATATTATAGAATAATATCAAACAACATAAGTTAATAAAAGATTGATAAAATCTAATGTACGGTTTATATTTCTGTTTCGTATCAGATTTGTTTTTAAAGCACCGGTGTTACTTCTCATTTTAAAAACAGTGAGACGCTTACTTGCTTTTTCGGAATTGACCAAAAAGCTATAAAATAACGTAGCGAAATGATCGTACTTATAGATTAGACCTTTTGTTTTTCCATTTTGAATTGTTTTACACTAGTGATTTTTGGGACCTTTATAGCTTGCTGTTCGGTGTGAGCCAAAGCTCCGTGTTGCGGCCGTACTTTTGATCTATAATTAAATGTTTTATACTTTGTGACTTGGATGGAGAGTTGTTTCATTGGCACACATACCACATCTTCTTATTTTTATTAACCGGGAACAGTTCATAACATTTTCATTTCGATAAAAAAATATGCAAATTCAGTAAATCAAATGGATTTGTGAAACGGGGCCCGTTAACATAGGGAACTAGCTAATGTTAATTTTCTCAGTAAGCTCACAAAGAACTGTCTGTATACTGTCTATATAACAAAGTCCGTTTGATGTTCACATGTTTAATCGTATAACAGTACATGTATATATAATATATGTAAAGGCTCACAATTATAAATTCCAATTAACATTCGTGCATACAACTTGGTACTTCAAGCTACTATACTATTATAAAGGTTCTCACAATATAGAGCTACTAACATTTGTTCTTAATTTACTTTGCAACTCATGTACCGTATAAACTGTCACATTAATCAAGATGAAAGACCATTAAACTGATTAAGCCTTAGTATTGACCATCAACTCTTTGATGTAATTGACCACGCCACATTTGTACCATATTGGTACATTCAAAAGTCTTTAACTAAAGTATACGATTGATAGAAATACATTATTTGTATTGCATTACTCCTTAAATAATGTCCAGTGTCAAATATCACACATCGATGACCACTTAGATGTTCAACTGATTCAACAGAAAATTAAACAAGTGCAATTCATTAAGTTACAATTGAATCCATTATTTATATTGCTAAACACAATTAGTCCAGGAAAAGATACAGGTGACATTGATATGCTTTGATTTGTTCTAGACTTCAAGTCTGATACGGCGAGCGCGTATCGACAAGAACAATAGAGAACAATAGTTGTGAATCCGAGCCAAATTGACCTTTGTTCCAACTTTACTCATAATTAATGCGTGCTTGTGGAAAAGAAGTGCATTTCAATCTCGAATAAACATGTTGGGTTGTTGGACAGAAAGTCACAGGACCATAAAGTCACAGACAAAAAGCCACAATTTAGTTTCTGAGACTATTTTGAATAAAAAAATACTTATTTAAAAAAAAACATATTTTGTATTTATCTTGAACTATTATATACATAAACCAACTCTGTAAACAAATGTATTAAATGAACAAATAATTGTTTAGATAAAAACCTTTCAAAGTGGCTTGGTACCTAAACAGCTTCATGGTGCTAAGAAATATTATATCATGTGCATGATTAAAATTCAATAAATCTTCATTTAACAAGGCTAATTGAACAATTTCATAAACCTTTAAAAGAATATTTGTAATAACAAATATTTTCAAGATATTTCTTTTACATACTTAAACAATTGCTTTTCATTGAAATCATCCGAATTATCAAGTAATATTGTTCGCTGAACATTCAGCGATCATAGCCAAGCATGTGTTCTTCGGAATGCAATCTGTACATGAAGAAAAAACAATTTTAAGTCATATACATTGAAAATCACGAATCGTGTGTCGTGTTTGACCTATAATTCTTTATAAAATAGTCGAATTTGACTATCAATATATTTTTTTCAAGTACGTAACTCTATATGCGTGTTTTTTGCCACTTTGCTTAGAACAATTATCATATATATCTTAAATCTCTTTCAATAACATTTCCTAATTCAATTTGTTTTTCTTTTTTGCCACTTTGTTTGAAGTTTATGATCTCTCAGTTTAGACTGTTGTGAATTAAGGTTAAGTTACTTTATGGAAGGATAAATAAATGAAGATTTTAATTATGCTAAAAATGATATATTTTCCAATCAAAGGGGAAGCGTACGCTTTGTCGCCACAGAATCCGACACTAACCTAGCAAATTGCTAATACGACATAATTAAACAATTAACAACTTTGTAAAAAAAGTGATAGATAAATGTCCTTTTGTTTTCCTTAAACTGGGATATTATGATATTTATGGACACTGTAAATCTTAAATCAGTGTTTCAAAGTCATATCAGATAAAAAATAATTGTAATTTCTTCAACAAAAAAAAACGTACTTTAGAATCACGAAATAAATGAAATCGGATTTGGATTAGTTTTGTGCTCAATGGAATTTAAAAGACTTTTTAAAATATCTATTCCTTTATAGTCACTTTTTTAAATCAAATTTAATGAGGTTCATATATAAGTATGTGGTACATCTCTCTCTAAGGATTTTTATGTTTTTTATTTTTTTTAATTTACAGTTTTTTTTTATTTTGTTGTTTATTGTTTGTTTGACTTGTAATGTCACACACATTGCAAATGTTTAATGACAATAAAACTGAAATGTGCATCAATTCTAATAATTTTAAAAACAATTCTTCTATACTTTTATAAAATTAATATTAAATGTTCAATTGAATAATTAATTCTCGTTTGTATAGCAAAACAAACAACAGTTACCTTGTTTATTTAACAACATTTTACTTCATAAAATAATGTGGGACAATCCAAACTCTAAAACTTTAAAAAGTGGGACAATCGGATATAAACCAATCGAAAGGTAATAAATTCAATGATCCTTAAAATATCAAAGAAACGTGGCAATTACAATGGCTATTTTACAATTACATCATATGTACACCTGTCATGGTATCATACATGTACATTTTTGTAGCTCCGTATGTGTAGGTTAAGGTTCTAACACATTTTATAATAGCTTCTTTCTAAACACTATTGACGACATTGTTAACAATTAACAAAGCAATGTTTCTTTTTTATATTTGTCCGAGACTTCGTCCATAAATCTTGGACAACAAGGATATTTTTTTTCTACTTTATTTCCTTGATAATGGGTTGCTGCTCACAAGGAAGCTATTAAACCAAGAGTTCCAAATGGTGATATTGAAATAATCCCATCGTAAATTTTACGGACGCCAACACGAGTTCGTTGACCGTTATGGAATAACCTTTTCAAAGATGATATCGGATATATGTTCCTTACGTCGTAGCTACAATCCCCTTCCCTTTTCATGAATGTGACCTACATAATTTAACTATTTATCGGGTTTAAAATAACAGGACGGGTCCCACATGTTGAGCAGGATTTGCTTACCCTTCCGGAGCATTTGAGATCACTCCCAGTTTTTGGTGGGGTTCGTGTTGCTTAGTCTTTAGTTTTCTATATTGTGTCCTGTGTACTATTATTTGTCTGTTTGTCTTTTTCATTTTTAGCCATAGCGTTGTCAGTTTGTTTTCGATCTATGAGTTTGACCGTTCCTTTGGTATCTGTCGCCCCTTTTTTAAAATGCGTACTTCTACTATGTGGCATCTACTAAATAATTGATTTCACGTAGAATGGTACAGACTGAACCCAACTGGACACTTTCTATCGCAGCGTTTACTTTACGATTCAAAAGTTAATTAGCTTTATATTTTCTGAAAGTTCCAAAAATTTCTGCAAACCTTAAAGGATGCTTTAATTTCGTATAAAATGGAAAAAAAACGGAAAAAAACCCGGACAACATTCAATTCTATAGTAAAATATAATGATTTGTAATTTGCTACTATTTTAATTTTAAAAAAGATGGATGCACCTTTTCTAAAAAAAGGCCAAAAGCCAATAAAAAAGTACAATGTTCTCGTCTGCTTTTAGTGCCATGTTCGCAGGAACCGTGTGAAAATGGAGGAACTTGCGTCAACGATGATTGTATGTGTGACGATGGCTTTGCTGGAGTAAATTGTGAAATAGGTTTGTTTAACTTAGAATTATTTATCAGGACGATTCAATATAGCTAAAATTGTCAAAGTGAAAAGTTGTACACATGTACACATGTATTTGATTCAACTTTGAAATCACAAATTTCACTGTTTTCAGATAAAACCAAAAACTATATAACAAAAAGATCAGCAATACATTAATTAAGACTATACGCATTTATAGTGTGAATTTTATAGATATAAGAAGATGTGGTTTGAGTGTCAGTGAGACAACTCTCCATTCAAGACAAAATAAGTAAAAGTAAACAAACTCATCACAGAAACCAGGATTGAAATTTTATATTTGCACCAGACACAAAAGACTCATCAGTGAAGCTCGAATCATAAACAGTTAAAAAGGCCAAATAAAGTACGAATTTGAAGAGCATTGAGGACAAAAATTTCAATAACAACTATGTCCTGTAAACCAGTATGTTTTCATTAAATTTTTACACATAACCACATAAAATGAGAATACTGATTCGAACCTATGAACAACAGGAAGTGACCAAAAGTTGGCACATGCATTTCCTAACCATATTTATGAGCCTTTTATATTATTTTAACCAAACATGCAATGCCGACCCAAACAAACTTATACCACATCCAAATACATGTCAGCTGTACTATAACTGCAGTCAAGCGGTGCCCCCCCCTTCCGACAGAGTACAGACTGTACGATCACATACCACAAGTTCTAAGACCTGCCTACCTGCACGAATGTCCTTATCCTGAACTTTTCTCAACAACGACTATGTCCTATGAAAATTATACAGACGTAAAATGCGGGTCTAGATATGAAACAAAAAATAAATGTAAGTATATACGAGCAAATTAAAGTTGATGGTGAATATCGATGAAACCTCCTTAAATTACGGTAGATAAATGATCACAAAGAGTGAAATTATTGTTTGAGTAGACTGAAACAATTCATAAAATCTTGCTGAAAATATACGTTTTAACAAAATAATCTGAAAATTGGAGCAAAGAGTCAAATGAATTGAAAATATTTATGAACATAGATAAGTTAATGAATGAATGAATAAATGCATAGAAAAAAACCCACACGCAATTCACCTTTTATACATTTGTTTCAACTTTGATTCTATGGTCATGATGGTTAGACAAAGTAATTACACCGCACCTAAAAACACGAATATTAAAAATTAATTGAAATCCATAAATTGATCGTCTTATTTTGCTAGAAATTGAAATATATTAATGATTGGTATATTTGTAGGTGACTACCTTGCAGTAAGCTATTATTGCTTAGGTGCATGTAAGGTATGCACATATCATATCCCTGACTGTGTGGGATTTAGGATAGTCTACAGAGGATTGCTTACATCAAAGATGTGCAATTTCGGGTTATTATTGTTACATTTTCATTTACAACCGTGCACAACGGATCCGCATGGGGTACATACATTTGTTGTATTCTGACAGAAAGACGACTTTGAATCAAAGACTGGTTCAGAATCACAGAAATGCAAAAATTCCGCAAACTGGATTATATTTTGAATGTCAAAATGAAAGGATGATTTATGGTGGTCAAAATCCTTGTCCAACTAACATGGCACCTTATAATTGCAAATGCACAGACATTTCCGAAATACAATCATCCAATTGGCAGCCTGGATATGCTATAGACTGTTTCGGTCGACCAAATGGTAACTATGAAAGTGAACATGTTCAGAAGTGCGATATCTACTACACTTGTGTGAATGGAATCTCAACGCTTACATATTGTGATTCTGAACCAGTCTTTGATTCAAAGTCGTCTTTCTGTCAGAATACAACAAATGTATGTACCCCATGCGGATCCGTTGTGCACGGTTGTAAATGAAAATGTAACAATAATAACCCGAAATTGCACATCTTTGATGTAAGCAATCCTCTGTAGACTATCCTAAACTTGCTTTCTAGGAAGACGAGACTACGAACATAAATTTTCATTCTCTTTCTCGTTAGAAGCAATCAAAGAGGGACGAAAGATACCAGAGAGACAGTCAAACTCATAGATCGAAAACAAACTGACAACGCCATGGCCAAAAATAAAACGACAAACAGACAAATAATAGTACAGATGACACAACATAGAAAACTAAAGACTAAGCAACCCGAACCCCAACAAAAACTGGGGATGATCTCAGGTGCTCCGGAAGGGTAAGCAGATCCTGCTCCACATGTGGCACCCGTCGTGTTGCTTATGTTATTACAAATCCGGTAATAATCAAGCCAGACCACAGAAATGTATGCGACATGTGTATATGTACAGGACAAAAAAGACAAAAACAAAAGTGACGTTGCTACAAAGTAAAATAAACCAACAACTCAACTGTCACGTCGAAGAGAAGATGTTATTACTTTTAATGAGTCTGTTATGAGCATTTATTTATTCGTGTTTGGAATAAAAAAAAAGAATGTGGATTGGAATACTTCAGAATTTCATTCGATTCTCACAGTTTATGTATCTTTCATGTATATCTTTTTACGGCATTTATGAGGCTTGACCAACGGGGAAACTAATGTTGCCTCGAACTTATGACAGTGGCACAAGACGTTACTTTTAAACCACTTCCTAACACCAGGATCAAAACCGGTCTTGCGCTAAAGTTTGACCAGAACAACCTACATTGAACCAGACATTCATAAAGTAGAAAATTTGGTTCTAACTGCTTCAAGTAAAAAAATAACTTCTTATCAGTAGTATTTTGTATACAAAAAGACCAAGACTGTTATTTGAACAGTGCTATTAGAATTAATGTGCTGACAAAGTCTACCAACGGCAAAATAATTACTTGACTGTGTGTTTTCTCTACATAAATAAGTTAACTTGGAAATATGTTCAAATGTCTGATCAAAGTGCAGTTTTGTAAAGGTGAGGCCGCACAACAATTGCAGAAAATTGAATAGTCGTATCAACTATGAAACACAAATTGTCGGTGTGATGAAAAGTACATCTATACTTATGTATTGTGCCTATTACTGTTTTCAATGGAGTTGGCCCATGGGGTATGCTCTACCGGACGAACACTTAGTACATTACAATTTCCTGTTTCTTTTAGAATGAGTATTCTTTTTTTTTTTAAATATATATGTTAGATATATTCATTTGAACTCATTTGGTCAATACTTGTCTAATTGACAATGATACTACCAAATATAAGGATTTTAAGTATGCACTTGACGTTATCTACTGACGTGTCTTCTTTTAGTCGATATTAATGTACATGTACTTATTTTTTTTAAATGCTCCGTATTTACAATATTCATGATTGCATAAAATAAAAGAATATCCCATAGTTAAAATTTCAACGGCCAGACAATGCCGCAGCTTCCAGTGATCCACTCTGAACCTGAATTTTTTATGGTTTACAAATAGACAGCACGCATGTGTCATGTTTCATGATTTGTTTTGTTTTTTGTTTGTTGAATTGAAATATCTACATTTTAGTATTTGCAATGCCGGACTCGCGTTCCGTCTATATAAGACAAGTAACTGGCGCTCGAATCATAAACGTTGGAAGACCATGTCAAATACAAAGTTAATGTAATCGAAGATAAAAGGACCGATTTCAACTAATGTATGAATTTTTGTAATTTCATCTTTTAAATTACAATCAACAAGGTGAAGCATTTAACAGTAATATGATAATCTAGTTCTACAAATTTGTGATGACTCATACATATACATGATTATATTAATATTCGTCAATGGACATTTCAGGGTAGATACATTTGACCTTCTCATTTTCTTTATATCACATTGGTATCCACTGCCTCTCGTTTATCAAGTATATAATAAAATTATAAAAATCGATCAAATTAGTTTCACAGATTCGTTGAAATGAAGCAATGTTTCCATGATAATGGAATACTAAACAAGATTCAAAATTCTATTTGAAATATAGCTTCTGTATTTATTTGCTTTATGTAGTCCTTGCATGCACAATTATCCAAAAAATCTAAACTTTAATATAGAAGTAAATTAAAAGTTCTGTAAATATTCTCCTTGAAAACATATATGTACATATTAAAATTACCTCATTCTACTATATGTACGGATTTTGTTTTCGAATTAACTCATTTAAAGTGTAAATCACACCTCAGTAGCTATAAATGCAATAAAAAAAAAATAAACATTTTTTGTTCTCAATTTTTAATATTCCTTTGACTATGATGTTCCTTTGATCCAAAATTACGATACTTTTATTTCCCAATGCATTTACTGTTGTTAGCTCTGTAGTGAAGTTTTACATTGAAATAAAAGTAATATATGTATAACTGTTAAAATGTTAGTGATATTTCGGTACCACATACAGCGTAAAAGCTTTACTAATTAGGTACAATAATTTTGTTTAGAATTCTGCGGTACCTGTAAAATCTTATAATAAACTTTCCATTTTCATGAGTAGCTATTAAAACACTGACATAGGAAATGAAAAAGGATATGTTGAGCATTCCTAAACATCATGAACATGTTTAACCCGCACTTTTCTGAATTAAACCAGACATTGGTGTCTGTCATATTCTTGTTCTTGTTCTTACTTTTTGAAATTATTTCGTATAAATTGTTTTATCTGTTATCTGTTATGTCCCTAACGGAACCTTTTTGTAGCTAATTATACTGTAGGGGTGTCGTACATTTTTGAAGGTTGTGCAGTGACCTATACTTGTTCACATCCACGTTGTTTAAAGGATAGTTATCTCGTTAGAAATCTTACTAATGATATTTTTACAAGTTTATTTCAGCAACATGAAGTGCCATATTACATTTAAATGAATATAGATATAATATGCACATATTTGTATGTGTGACCTTGTCTCTTACAATACACAATTTACAGTACAACTGCACAAACATATTTAGATTCTAAATCTTTGCGTAAAACAAAATACGGGCAATTGATCTTTCCACTTTTTAAATTACAGCTGTATTGAATCAGCGCATAATTGTGTAGTTTTTTCCTAAGTTATTTATATTTAGTTGTTATTGTTCTTCCTCGTTAAATGTACCTAACATCACATACATCATTTTATACTTTATGCATTCACTTCAAACAATAGAAGCAAGATCTATGACACTATGTTGATCTGATAACATTTTAATGAACTTTTGAATATTTTTGCAAGTAAAAAGCATTGCAAATTCGAACAAACACGGAAATATTTTTCAGTATCTTTGTTCTTGCCAGAATTAAATGTAGCAATAGTAACTTTAATAAAAGGAAAACAGTTTATGTCATACAAATGTAAGTATTTAGTTTAAATTCTAATTTGTTCATAATTTCATCATCATTCAATTATATGTAGAAAATTGGATCTAAAATGAGACATGAAAAATAAATCATATCATACGACTCCTTAAAGTCAATGTGTCTACCGATGCGATTTCAATGCTGAAATGAGTACTTAAGGCAAATGAATTGTTGGTTTATATAGCAATAATTCTAAAATAACTGAACCTGTAGAGTTTTAAAGTCATGTATACAGCAACATTCCAGCAGCGCTTTCATACGGATCTCCCAGTTATTCCAGAGCATTCTTTTCTTGTTATGATTTATTTTATAGAGGGTTGTTGTTCACACGGAAGCTATTAAACAAAGAATTCCAAGTGGTGAAGTTCAAATCATCCTTTCGAAAATTTTACGGAAGACATGACGTTCTGAGGATCAAAGTAACTCTTAAATGTATGAATTTGTATTTCACTTATTTTAGATGTTCGAACTACCATATTTGTCGTAGAAGCGTCCAAGATGTGTTTTTCAAAAAAATGTTTAGACGAAATTATTCTAGTATAACTGATATATTGGAACATCAAACAAGAGTCTTGATAAAACTCCTCAAAGATACCAGGCTTATAATATGGTATGCAGAGGCGCCTTTCTTTTACATGAGACTCATCAGAGGCGCTCGAAGCAAAACAAATGTTAAACTAGACAAAAGGACATTGAAGATCACTATAATGTTGTCTAAACAAGGATTTTTACGATCACTCCGACTATATTAATAATGCTATGTTAATTTTTTTCTTTTCTTTTCAATAGTTTAAAACAACTGAATTCAATTTATTTTAAACAATAAGAGTTAAAAATTGAAATAAAAATAATGATATAGTATGAACTACACTGATTTTTATTTTATTTTTTACATAATGTTTGATTTAAACATGGCTTTTCAAGTTCTTAACTAAAACAGAATTTCTTCGACTGCTAGATAGGTTGCTGAAGGTTGAACTATTTAGAAGTTATTTTTTTAAAGAAACAAATATATTGAATTATAAAATGATGATAATGAAACTTTTAAATTGTGATTGTTGTCTTTCGTTTCTTTGGTGAACATCAGATACGTATATAATTGTTTCAGAAAGATAACACAACATCTGATATAGACATTAATAATAAGTAACTGTATTTCAAAACGCAATACAGCGTATAGGCATCAAAGAGATAGGGCCAATGTCCGCTGATTTTT